GTATCAAGTACATGTATTCAATAAAACTAACTATCCGAGAAAAGGTTCACTTTTTCACATATGATCTTGTTGATCTTAAAGTGAGTCCTGTCACTTATCAGTTATTTGGAACCGATGTTAGCTCAGGTTGTTTGCTTTCTAGGTGTTACGGTGATTTGCTGTTTTCTTGTCATGATTTGACCATCAAAGGCAGCGGTCACAGATACCATCAGTTTCGGTTGAGTTCCTTTAAAAAGTGAGCTATGCAGACCTTCAGCAAGCGTTCAGCTCGTGATGAAAAGGTTAGCGGTCCTGGCTGTGCTTGTCGCCAATGTATGGTAAGTTTTGCAAATGCTTTCGCTAAACTGTGTTGATCATTTGGTGCCTTTGGCAGACAGTCTAAACGCATTCCACGCATTCTAACCCACATAGTGTGTCTTCATTTCTCCAGTTTGCCGAATTTTAGAAATCTCAAAGCTACGCCAAAGCAAAATGAAACTCGTCCACGATTATGTTGAATTGCTCACATATTCTGTGATCAACGCACGCGCTATGAATCTCATGAATTTGAATAGATCAGTGTTCAAGTCTTCTTCCCTAAAGGAGGAATTCACGATAAGAACGAAGGTCAAAGAAGGGGAAAATTGCATAGTTGGGAGACAGGCGGACCTCCTGAGGGTGCTGACCGACGCGCAATTGGCAGCGAAAGATTTGACCTCGGCGATCTAGCATGGCTCACTCTTGGCGCGGTTGGCGGGGTACGCCCACCGACTATCTAATCACTCGCCGCAGGTCTATACGTGGCGAGTGATTAGATAGCAGAGAGAGCGTAGTGTTGAAGAGGGCACAGCGATGAGATCAATGCGCAAATCAACGGGCAAGGAAGGGTCCCATTTCTCGGGTTTCGGGCCGTTTCAAATGGTTTCTTCTTCATCCCTGCTCCACTGACCACCTCTACCCTTATTTCCAATGAGCTAACTTTTCATCGTAAATTCTGAGATTAGGTAAGATAGACCTACTCTCGAAAGTCTTGAATGTTTAACAGCTTGAGGGTGCGCATTATCACTTGCACAACAGTGTGCTCATCTTGTCGTTCGTGCCCTAATGCTGGTTCATCCGACCATCGCGATTGTAATATCATCTACATCCTTCACTTTCATTCTCGCTCATCTCCGAGAAGTCCTTTACCTCGGCGCCCACTAACTCATACCTGTTGTCTGAACCATTATTTTCCTTATGAACGGAAGTCCCGGCATTTTGATAGGTTCCCCTCCCTCTTGCTTCCACTTTGTTCACCTGAATTGAGCGTTCCTACGTAGCCCAACAACTTGATCCTAGGCTTGAGTTGAACGATTGATTTTCCATTTCAGCAGTCAAGGAAACAACTCCCGGGACATTTATGAGCCCGTGACATTCACAATTTCGCCAAAAATATGGAATCCTATTGGAAACAAAGGCTGGCCTTATCACCAATACGGTGAAATCTATCAGGTTCCCCGATAAAGAACAAATGGTACGTTTTGCAAGATTCGTGCGTGATAAGTAATCAACGTTTGCGAAACGGTGCTAATCACATTTTTTTAGGTAAACATACTGTACAAATACGCAGTCTGGGGCGGACATTTCGATGGATTTTCCATTCCAAAAGCGCAGGAGTCTCGTTTGAGAATATGAACAATGGCGTTCATTTACGAGTACTTTCATTAAACATTAAAAAAGTGCTTCCGAAGACATGGAGAAATATTGGCTAATGAGATATTTTCAGATGAAAAACATTCAATTTAGCGGCTCCATCCAGGCAAGATTACTCATAATAGGAGGCCTTGCTCGCGCCAGTGGCGCTGTTTTGTAAGTTAACGTGAAAAATGTCCCAAAGTTAAGCATCAGACCCGATTTTGTCATTATTGCAGAGTGAGAAGTTCAAATGCTGAGCTTAATATCGTGCTAAGTATGGAACGATTTCTCCTTCACACCGACAGTCACACTGAACTCGAATTTTCGCGTGTTGATTTTACGCACCATCTACGGTTCTTTAATTTCCTTAGAGGCTATGTTCAGAAACTTGCAATGGGTGCTGCTAATAAGGAAGTCCCCGCGCTAAAGTAAGTTTTGAGTCTTTATGGACGTTCTAATTGACTTCAATCGTTCTTGCGAGTAACAACAGCCTCGCTGACAAGGTAGAGTAACTAGAATCTGTGCTGCTAAACATACTCCTCTTCGCATGAATTCATTGACGCTACACTTTCCCGATGAGCGTGTAAGTGTCATTATGAGGAACAGTGTACCATGTATTCAGCCTGGTCTGTTGTTTGCGTATCCGCCCTTCTGTCCATCTGCCTTAAAATTTGGCGTTACCTGAAGAATCACCTTGAAAAACAAGGTGGAAATTGGAAATGGTCTATCGAACGAAAGCCTGCCCGGCGGGCGGTGCCACCTGATGTGCCGGAGTTACCTTATGGATACAGTCCGAGAAAAAACCAATGGATAGAGTTTGGCGGCAAGGAATAAATGGATGCTGTTTCATGGCGTCACGAACATGTGAGTGTGACCGACCTTTGAAAATGATTGTCAGGGATAGGTCCGATAGAGCTGTGAAGCAACGAAGCTAAGGCCGATGTCATAGTTTGCGAATCGAGCGATTCGCTAGCGAATCGCTCGATCCGAGCGTTGCGCCAGCGAATCGAACGTTGCACCAGCGAATCGAACTTTGCGCCAGCGAGTCGAACGATGTACCAGCGAGTCGAACGATGTACCAGCGAGTCGAACTAGGTACCAGCGACTCAATAGTGGCGGGACCCAACTTTTAAAGGAAGCCCGCGCGACATTCAAACAGTGTCACGTGACAGTGGACGCTGTTTGAAAGTGGCGGGAGTGACTGGTGGGCCACTGTTTGAATGTCGCGGGCTTCCTTTGAAAGTTGGGTCCCGCCACTATTGAGTCGCTGGTACCTAGTTCGACTCGCTGGTACATCGTTCGACTCGCTGGCACAAAGTTCGATTCGCTGGTGCAACGTTCGATTCGCTGGCGCAACGCTCGGATCGATCGAATCGAGCGATTCGCTAGCGAATCGCTCGATTCGCAAACTATGACATCGGCCTGACGGCTACAGGTAATACGAGTTGATGCCGTTACCCGACATCGAAATACAGCGGGCTGAAAGCTTTGCAAAGCAGCTTTGACTGTTTTTTATTTGTTCCCTGCTGTTTTTGCGGACAAAGTCGATTGATAAGTATACACCAATCGAAAAGCTGAGTTGGACACAACTCGTTCGCTGGTAGAGTAAGTTGCGCACTTAAGCCGCGATAGCAAAAGGTGGATTCGACTCCGTAATGAGAGCGAAGAATTTGTGCTTCACCAGCATTGTTTGCGATCCATTGACATAGGAATGTTTCATTCGAACTCTCCTGTGAATATTATGGACAAAAGCTTCCCATTATCAGGTTTGAGGCGTACCTCGGTGATGACTACTGAACATGGGTACCCCCCAGGAGGCCCATCGCGCGGCAAGAAGGCCGAGTCGGCGGACGAGTCGCGGCGCGTGATGTGCGATGAAGGACGTGCAATGGGACATTCTATTCAACTTGACGCGATTTCCCTAATACGCGACTGCGCGCGCGACTCGTCCGCTGACTCGGCCCTTCTTGCCGCGCGGACGGGCCTCCTGCGGGTACTTCCTGACATAACTGCACTTGCACATTAGATCGATTCTTCTGAGTGAAAAAGTCGCCACGTTGCCTACTGGTCTCACGTTCGTCTCTATTTCAAGCTTTGTTGGTGCAGGACACTGTTCACAGTTTGCTCCATATTCGAAGGAGGCGAATACAAAAAATGTGCGATCCTGCCAAAAGACTAAGATGCGTGTCGATTCGCAAATCGGGTGTGAGTAAACGCAAGCAATTTTCTTGAGAAATGTATGTTCATCAACCACGTGAATGGGTGTCTAGGGTTTGCGCGCTTTCAAATGCTACGCATCGCGCCAAATCCTTCTTGAACTGTTGAAAGTAGGATAAAATTGGTGAAGAATGTCGACGTCGCGTCGAGGATTTTTGCCTGGCTCTCCCCGTCACCCCGCCTTCTGGCATTTCAGCTCTCGACACTGTTCTCAACCAGCCTGGTCGAGAATTCCCTCTACCTTTATTCGCGAGTTCTGGTTGACGAGAGTGGGGCTGACTATTTCGATACGAGTTTTAAAGGACGAATTTACGATGGAAAAGCAACCCATTCCAAATTGAGGTAGAGATGGTGAGTAGTACCAGAAAGAAAGCGAAACCACGAAAAACGGCCCAGAACCGGAGAAATGGGACCCCTTCCTTGTCCGTTGATTTGAGCATTGATGGGACTCTCATCGCTTTGCCCTCTTCAACCCTACGCTCTCTCAGCTATCTAATCACTCGCCACCTATTGTACTACGGCGAGTGATCAGACGATCGGTGGGCGGAGATCGCCGAACTCGCCAACTTTGAGCCATGCTAGATCTCAGAGGTCAAATCTTTCGATGCCGATTGCGTGTCTGTCCGCACCCTCAAGAGATTCACCGCTCTCCCCACTAGGCGATTTCTCCCTTCTTCGACCTTCGTTCTTTCCGTGCAATCCTCCTTTAAGGTTTCGCTTAACGCTCTCCTGCTGTGCACCCGATCTCCAGGTCGATAGTGTTTAATTTAAGAATTCTGCGATTTCTGAATATTTCTTGGATCGCAAAACTTTGAACACTACTGGTAACACGCTGGAAATGGCCTTAGGATATCATAATCGACCGTGGAAAGATAAAGAAAATCGCTTTAGGGAATACCAAGTCAAACCTTATGGCTGGGCTGTTGTGGCCAATGCGAGGTTGTAAGGCGGTTGATGACCAAGACAAACCCACACCGCGATCAATGGATGCTCAGTGCTGCAGTAGCTCTACACCGTAGTCCTCCGATGCCGTTCCTTTTGGGACATCAGGGGAGAATTAATCGAAGAAGACGATACTTGCAAGGAGCCAATCGACGCTATCCCACGCTTAAGACCTGCCCTCTCCGGGGATGGAGGATTCGACATTCCCACCTCGCTTTGGCTTCAGCGTAACTACAGTTGCAGTACAAGGGAAGGTCACACCTCCGACTTGCAGGCAGTTTCGTGTCCAAAATATTCATGAGTCGAGGCGGGAACCTGTCCGTCTGCCCTAATATAATGACACAGTGTGCGGTGCTTTTCTGAACTTGCGAATACTTAGAGATGTTTTCAGTTGGCTGAACTAATCGTTAAAGAGGTGAATCCCAGGCTGCAGAAGCTTAAGCAGAAACTGCTAGCGAGAGGACTCACCGAATACGACATTGAGTGGACCGTGCAGAACCAAATTCTCCGAGTGGGGATCAAAACGAAAGGGTTAGTCGACCTTGGTGTACGAGAATCCAAAAGAACTATGATTGCTCTTTCTCTTCGTGTCCTACTTCTAGCATTTAGCGCGAATAACGTCATTGCTCCAGTGAAGCCAATAGACAAAATGGTGTGCATTGACGTGAACGTGGCCAGATTGGCGCCAAAGGCGAAACGATGCGTGGTTGGTTTTTCTTCAAGGCTTGAGCTAGAGTACGGTAGCGTGGTATTTGATCAGATCTGAATGATTTCAGTTGTCATCAAATATTGATGTGACGTGTTTGAACCCTCTGGCCAAATGTGAAGGACTGTCGTGTTCTTTCTGTACAGACATCGATATCAATCCAGTTCATCCGAACGCACACACAGGCAACTTTCCACAACTGCACCAACGCATTTTAGATGGTTGACATCCGAATATAAAATTTTATTTTTCATATCTTCCTAGATGTAACAAATATAAACTGCATTGTCCCATTCTACTTAAGAGCAACCGCGGTCCGACAGCCGGTCGCCATTTCATATGTGTAGCGCGAATGTATTGTTTCGAAGTGGACAAGAAAAGAAAAAGAATCCGTCGAAAACGCTTAGGTTAAGGGCTCACTCACCTTCCTAATCGGCTGTGCTAAGGGAATGAGAGACTAAGCGCGGAGAGGAGAGTATGAGGCGAGAGAGCGCTACAGATGAGAGAACGCCAGACAGGGAGTTTGATAAGAGAGTACCTCCAGTTTCATTGCAGCTTACCTTCACCAGGTTATCGCGAGCTCATGGTCACATGGTAACTAGCAGCTGAGGCCACATTTCTACCGTCCCTGATGTTTTATCACACTTCATTCTTATAATTAGAGCGGTACATGCTATTTAACCGCTAAATTATCTAGCTTCGAGACCAACGCTAAAGTTTACGAAGTTATGATAGACCAGACTGGACTCTTTCAACCGCCAGGATCTCATTTACTGCGTAAGCTTCACGTCTTCCGTCTGTGGTTCCTTCCACTTGTGACACCAAATCCTCGTGGAGGTGACGCGTATGCAACAAAAAGGAGTTTCATATGGAAGAGGGGGGTCTGTTGTCCGACAGCGGGACATCTGCTGTTGCGATTACTATTGACAAAAGAGAACATGTTAGAGCCTGTCATATATACTGAAGCTCTCCACTTAGCAGCAAACTAAGACATGTCAAGAACTGTGACGTATTCTGAGAGGAACTGACCTATTTCCTGCCCTACCTCTTTTTTTCTTTTTTTCCACATCCAGAAAAAGTGGCGCACCACAAGATATCGGGCTTCCCCTAGGACTAAGCCTCGGGGGTGGGCAGGAGCTACGAAAAAGATGAAAATCACTCACTCTGGAGTCTCCCCTTCCTCCGCCAAGGCTTAGTCCCTTTTCTAACAGAAAACAATCGTTTGACGCGGTTTTACTTACGTGCGTTATCGTCGCATGCTCGCATCTCTTGCGATAGGGCCTTATTTTGTTTGTTTTGTTGTTTTGTTGTTTCTTCGAAGCTTTAGATGAATGTTGGTTCTTAACATGTTCTGCTTTTGCTGTTGAGAAGCGTTGCTCTTTTAACACATTTTGCTTTCGTTAGCACGTTGCAGGCCGTCGGACAACAGACTCGAAGAGGGCAATGACGTTAGAATGACAATACCAGCACCCTAGGTCTGTTGGTGGTTGGTTTCCGCCTCCTCTCCTCATCCTACCCCTCCTTTCCCTCCACTGCCCTCGCTGCCACTGCAGCAGGTGTTTATAGCCCTAAGAGTGTTATCACAACTATCCTGCTACAAAACATTGATATCTCAAATCCTGTAAGCTACCCGATTTGTTAGCGGTTTGTTTATCCCATGAGCTTCCTTCTCACTCACTTCATTTTGCGGACGGACATACATACATACAGAGATGCATACAAACCGACATACCAAGTTATGGATCGTTCATAGTTGGCGATCGTACGTGCGATTAGGCGATTAGGCGATGATTCAAAAGAAAAGTATACGTATCGATAAGGCGATTAGGCGAGTAGGCGAGTAGGCGATGAGAGAAGGTTCGTACTGATTTGTTGCCCCACCCATCGAGCGATCGCCTCCTAATCGCCTGCTCGCCTACAACCAGAGTCAACCCTGCGTTGCGCAGTTTCGCCCGATTAGACACGTTCTCTCGCGCGAACATTCACACTCGCATGCTCGAGCCGTCTGTGTCTCCGCCCATACAGCGTGCGTTGAGGATCTCTCAACGTGCCGTTGCGAACTGCGCAACGCAGGGTTGACTCTGCATCGTTCTATGGGCGGAGCAAACCAAACAATACGCACCTTGTCTCCCCCGCCTAATCGCCTAATCGCCTGTACGATCGCCAACTCTGGACACACCACTGGCGGTTTACAATATTGAAGGACTGGACGGATTCGTGAGCATTTTTGAATCTATTCGTTCGTCTGTTTCACTTTCATTTTCGTCATGAATAAAGTCGAATTTAACGCCTACGTGAATGCTGTACAAACCATAGAGTGAACAAACTCCTTCGGAGAATGTTCTTCAAAGAATGACAAAATTGATCAGGCATGGTTCAGGCTAATTGGGTCTTCTTCAAAATACTGCTTCAGTTTTCCGCTTTCGCGATAAAGTATTTTAGATCAGATTCAACGGGGTAATGGTCAAACATCAAATTTTGAGGGAAAAATTAATTCGAAAAAAAGAGCGAACTTTGAGCGACCCACCAGCGGGCTATCAAGAAGATCAAGGTCATTATTGAAACAGAGTGGTGGTCAATTTCTCAATGAAGAGCAGAGTTAGAGCTGGTTGCGCCTTGGTCAACTAGGCATCCCATTTTGCAAGCCAATTGAACAGTTCCTAACTAATGTAGAAAGGAAGTAAATATTGTTATTAAGGGAAGACATCTTTCGAATGCTGTATGCCACACAGTATGTGGAAACGTGAAATTTCAGAGGAAAATTTCTTATTTGAAGAGGAAGGACACTACTTATTGGACAATTCCAAGTTAATAAAAACGTAAACAAGAACAGTGCCATTGAACAGACCTTTTACTACATTTGTAATGCTTGATTTTTCATCAGGAACAAGATTTCGGCGTCCAGAACCTTTCAAGGATATTTCTTCGATTGCCTCCTCGTTTTGCTTTTAGCGTATATCTAGGCTAGCTAATTAGCCAAAGTGCAGAATTCACATCAATGACACAATTGAATGCAATGGAGATGCAGAGCTCCAGCCGCAAGTTTGTCAAATACTCTGCCAGGATTCCCTAAATTGGGGTGCTGACGATGACACAGCCACAAACATCGCTCACGTAACTGACCAAATATCGCATGCATACTTTTTACGACATGGTAATGGGGGGATTTTCCCACATTGAAAAGCTCAAAAAACCCTCTAGAATCTTGAACGAGAAAAAGTTGGTAATTTTTATAATGTAATAGGTGTGTGTAGGTGCAGGTGTAACAAAGTTAAGTGGAAACACATACAGGAACAGCTCTTTCTCTGGAATTTTGCCAGGTTGTCCTCTTCCATCTGACATATAGAATACAGCACTCTGATTAGGAATGAAAAACGCTAGCCACCATCCAAATGTTGAGGTTGCAGCAGTGATAAGGAATGAACGGCACAACTGAGATGACAAGTACAAATCCAAAGATTCAGTATAATTCGAAATAATCACTGCCTGAAAAGTTGTTACAAAGGTTGCGATTCCAGAAGAGGAATACTTCACACAGACATCTTTCCTCCAACGTCCTGCTAGTTCAATCCTTCGAGCTAAGTCATGCATGAATTTCCGATCATCCCCAAATAGTACAAAAGAAGAAATTCCCTGCAACATGGCATTATTCAAAAAGTCTTTCGTGAACTAGAGCCAATTAACTCGCCAAACGATTAGCTATGTGAACCGTTACTTCCAGCGTCTTATTTACATTTGTAGATACATTTAGTTTGACGAAATCCGTTGTTCTCACGTGCAAACACAGCGAGCCGTTGCGTGCCTGCAAAAAGGTCTCGACTTGTCTCCAATCTTTGCGCAAACTTCTTTGTAGGTCCCAATATTTCTCCGAAACGTTGATCACACGGACACAGATGCTTAGCGGACTACATTTAGTTGGACGCTACCAAAAGTATCGATTGTGATCGATTCTCGTGAGGAAAGTGAAAGTAGAGGTAAAAATCCACAACAATACTGCCTAGTGAGGAGAGAGGCGGACCTTTTGAGGGTTGGTTGAAACGCAATTGGCAGAAAGATTTGACCTCGGCGATCTAGCATGGCTCACTCTTGGCGCGGTTGGCGGGGTACGCCCACCGACTATCTAATCACTCGCCGCAGGTCTATACGTGGCGAGTGATTAGATAGCAGAGAGCGTAGTGTTGAAAGAGCGGACGCATCAATGCTCGAATCAACGGGCAAGGAAGCGGGTTCTGGGCCGTCCCTCATGGTTTCTTCCTGCTCTAATCCTCATCCTTAACTTAATTTGAAGTGGGTTGCTTTTTTTCGTAATTTCTGTCTTTGAGGTTTGATCAGGCATCACTCGAAGGCTATTCAGCAAGTACTTATCGAATATGCGCATACTTCCAAAAATCTGCTGCAGGTAACTTGGGCACCCATCCACAGCGTCATCACGCTATTTTTGTTATCCTGAGCGTTGAATAGGCGGAATTCAATGAAGCTCCAGTCCCATTCCGATCAAAATCTTTTCAAGATCTTTTTTACACTAAAGCTACAGATAAGGTTTCCGTCAGACGACCTGACTACGGGTTGCGGTTGAAGGAGAAATGACGGGTGCATGCAATCGTGAAGAGCTGATGTTCCGGAAATTTTTGTGGTAGAGAGAAACTGTACAATAGTACCTATTTAAGCCTTCGATGATTTCGTCTCCTTTTCTTCGGACACTTGATGAAAATTGCAAAAACTTGCGAATATCGTGAAGATATTTGTCGAAGTAGCGTGGATTTTGACCATACTCGAAAGCGAGAAATAGGTGAGTTGCAGTGTGGTTCCGAAGCCTTAAGTAAATCACTGGAATCAGTTGGTCTAATAATTTGATAGTGCGTTGTGCGTCTAGTTTTTGAAGTGGTGCAGAACATGGAGGTGCCTACTTCAACTTGTAAAAAATCAGTTCACGCTTGATTACAACTTGGTGCATGAGCGTGAATAAAAGAAAGCTAAATAAGTGAAAGCTTATCAGAAAACAGGAATGTTGAGATCGTAGTAGTAATAAGGGAAACTGCAACGTCCCGCGCCGTATCCCATTGATGGTGTTCGATGGATGGTTCTATGACAAATGTGTTTTGACAGCGCCTGATTTGTGTAAGACCTACCTTGAGGGGTCGTCGTAACGACAACATGAGCCGGCGAACGGTACTGATGTTTCATTGATCTTACCCTGAAAAACTCCAGCTCCATGAAAAACATATCAACACAAACAATCAAGAAGTTTAGTCAACGTTTTGCTGGACAACAAACATGTCTTGCTTACTTTTTTATTCATTGAGAAAAACGAGGGCTTAGCAACTTCAGATGCATAAGCAATCATGTAGAGGCTTGTTAGCGCCTCCACTCACCTGGCTTTGGGGATACATTACTTGAATGCGGTCTGTCGACTGCTGACCTCTTCCTGTTATAGCCATCTAACTGTAAGGGGAGAATCGACTGTGTAAAACGTAACTTTGTCAAATACACTCAAAAGGTCATCCACGTTGAATTGGCCCACCTGCGGGGAGTTAGTGATAGCTATATTTTCATTACTATGGTACAGGAATTAAAATAGTATATGGCAGTAACTTTTAATATATGGTTACCAAGTCAAACTGCGCACTAGATCCACAAGTTGACCGTGATCAGCAGCATTCAGTGTATGGAACTTTGAATGAAAGTTTTTAATACAAAGTTTGCTAAAAATTATCACATAGCTAGTTTTGACATTGTTCTAAAATATACAGTAATATAATATCCAAGCTCGTGATTGGTTTATTTCCTCTGACAGTTGGCTCAGAGCAAGGATAAATGAAAATTTCTAAGGGAAAACGGTTTCGTTGCTTCACTGGGACATGCTCCTACTTTCAGTGTAGTCCCGCACAATGCACCTTCCGCAAACCCTTTTCATTGGATCGTTGCAGTACAGCCCAGTTGGCAAACAGTATTAATCCATTCAATGTGCAAAGAGGAGTCACTAATTGATCACTTTGGAAATTGAATCGTATTGACGTGGTGAGATCGCTAAGCTAATTACAAGAAAGATAGTAAAAGGGTGAAGATCATATGGACACTTTGGTTCAATGAGTGTACCAGTTTTCCAAAACAAAGGGTCTCTTGTACAAAAGTACGCCCGAATCATATTGCTCTCGCATTCCAAAAGGAGCCACTTAGCAGAATTATCCATAAAAGAAGAAACGCTGCCGCAAATTTCTATACAAATTTCAATCAAAGTGGTGCTCATCAGTGAGGAATCCGCTGCTTCAACTTTGAATTGTGTTGATCTTGTGAGTATTTTCGCAGCCATTGCTAACAAAGGTTCTCCAAGTGAGTCTCGACAAATTTCAGACGCGCACTCCTTACTGGCCATTGTATTAAAGTCACAAAGCTAATTTGTAACCACTGGCTCATCAGAGCCTTTGCATGACAGGGTGTGTCACTTCTCAGAAGGTAGTCTCTTACGGCTAGCTCCACACTTATGGAGCGGAGCACAGGTGGAGGAGGCGGAGCTTAGGGAGGACTGGCAGCCACAGAGCGCCACGAAAAGGCCTTATTTCGGTTCCTTAAGCCCCTGACTACTGCTTCCACTGCTGCATGACTTCCATGCTTACACACAACAACTTTTTCGCATTATATGCGTTCTCCTTAGATACGGAAAGACAATTTTTCATTTTTACTGATTGATAATGAAAACGCTGGTGGGTAAACTCCTATTGATGAGAGAATACAAAAACTGTTGAAGCAGGCATGGTGAGAAAGGCTGGCAGCCCCTTTATGTAGTGCTGGAGCCACAATTGTTGAGCGCGGAGCGTGCAGAGCACGCTGGTCACTCCTATTGGGTTAGGGACCCACGGAATTCAGAAAAGTTTTGTTCCTCAAGAAAACTGGAAGCAGGTAATCAGTTATCGCACAAAAGATGGATAAATGAGTTGAGAGGTCGGAAACACAATAGTGGTCGATCTCTCTCTGACCTCGACCGTGGCGTGGTCATCGCGCGACACAAATGCCAATAAACGGCTTGGCGCTAAGGAAAAACCCAAATGATTTTATGGTGCCAGAGAAATGGTGCGTTCAAAATTTCTTCTGGACACGTGTGTTGGTGAAGAGCAACGACTGACGACAATACTTTCGAAAGTTTATCACGTGAGGGAGACGCCTAAAAATCGGGATAGCCTTTATCATCAATACATATTCCACTGTTTGAAGGTAACGCTGGAAAATTGAAAAAAGATCTTACACAAGCAAAATAATGGTGGATATTTGTCTGTGCTTCTTCGTAAAAGACGGAATACCTTAGGAACAACGTAGGTCTCTTCGAGGCGTGGAAACACCTTCTTGAAGTTATCCAAGTATTTTAGTACATGTGGTCGAAACGCAGAATTAGGTATGTAGTGTACGCGTCCGAGTGCTCGAGCAATTCCATAACCAGTAATCAAGTGGAAGAGCTGTAATTGAACGGTTGTTGCATAAAAAGGTGTGAAAAAGGCGTCATATAGCTAATTTCGAGTTTGAGTGACGTTGCACCTTCACTGTAAATCACTACCATTTCCAATGCCTTAAAAATCACTCCAGTATATAAACTACAACCTCACTTTGTCAGCTTATCATTCTGTACGTCGGTGTGTATGCTGATCTGTCCCGCCACAAAATGAAGAAGAGCTAAGAGAATTGGGGGAGGTCATGTGATTTTGATGTCATGGTTGTGATAAGATTCATCCAGCTACATAAACAAGGATTGAGACCTTCTTCTCCTCCACCATTCCACGTGCTGAGTTGTGGCAGCTGAGGTGGAACAGGGAACGAAAGTAAGCGTTAATAAGGGGAAGGCCCAATTCAGTGCTGAGGTAATATTCTGTCGTGGTGTCTTGGATTGCATTAGGGGCCAAGTACTTTTTAGCACTAGTGACCCTTGTCACACCATTCGAAATTGCGACTTTTGGATAGCAAACTTTGGTACATGATCCCTTGTGTCTTCCGAGATACCTCTTTCAATTCGTTAGAATTCCATCTTCCGAGCGTGTACAATTTTCCCATGGCTCAAAGTGCTCGACATATGGTGCTGGGAGTTCGTTCCTCCAGATTCGCCAGTATTCCGACAGGTTTCTCTTGCTGAGTTCCCCGAACGGAACTCTTAAGATAGACAATGAAGAAAATTCGTTGAAATGGACGACATTTTTCCACAAGGACGAGGTTCCGGTCGAATTCCGAAACATGGAAGGACATTACAAGGGGTCTACGATAACAAAGGAGCCCACTGAAAACTAATTGAAGGTCAGTGGTGCGGGAGGGAAGGGAAACCATGAACGGCACATAACGCGAGAAAATGGACCCCTTTTTGCCCGTCGACTTGCGCGTTAGGCAACTCTCATCGTTGCCGACTTCTTCAGCGTTAACGCTCTCTCTACCTAACGCCTACAGTCACACGGCAAGAGGGTGGGCAATAGCGGCGCAGCACGGCCATGCTAGATCGCCGGATTTCAGCTCACTTTCACGAAAATGGCACACCTTTGGACACAAGTAATCAGAAGGAAATGAGAGATTACACAGGGATGGAAATCGGCGCAAAGTGAATTGGATAGGTGATTTGATTCCCATAAAGGAAATAAAAGATAAGCTCCTTGCCGTGATCCATCCCGTCTTGGGATGCGGCACGCATTCTACTTCCATTTGTACATTCGTAGTGGCGTTTGAATGCGATGTGGCCTATACAATGACTTGCGGGGGCCAGCCGATGTTCAAGTCAGTGTTTTTATCCTCCCAGACAAGTCTGGTACCAATTAACCGACCCCGGAGGGATGGAAGGCTTGGTTGGCCCGGGCGACTCACGACCCAGGATTTGATCCCCGGACCGCTCGCGTGGTGAGCGCGCCACTTGTCACTACACCACTTCCGCCCTTTATCCATATAGCAACACAAATATCGTTTCTGGTAAATGATCAAAAAGGACATATGAAAGCGGCATAGGACTTAAAAGGTCACAAGTGAAGCAAGTCTGAAGGCCCACAAACATTTGGCAACACTTAAGACACTGATCCCTCATAGGTTATTCTCCCACGCCACAGACTACGTGTACGTGGAAATACAATAATACAGCAGCAGGGCAAATCCGCCTCTCCAGTCATTGGATCTGTGTAAGGAGCTTCATCCGATCGTCAGCCTGTCTGTCTACTTTCTCTTTCGTCGCTCACTTTTTTCTCCACCGGCGAATCGAGTCTCCAATGGCTTGTGTGGCGAATTTGGCCCGTCCTTCACGTTCCTTACTCATAGTATATCCGAAAATGGACAAGAATGTGACTAGATTCCCTCGAATGTTTTGTTTCCGTAATCGGCAAGGACACTTGAGGCGGCAACGTGATCGAATCTACTTCTCCGCTCCTATAGAAAGAAAGCGATCCTAAAGGCGAACCAAAAAAGCTGCTTCGCACGCTCAATTAGCAGTCAGTGCAACGATTTGGCATCTTCTCACCCGAGAAGCTTGTAGCTATTTGCATCGCCTCCTACTGTTGCCAGTGAGGGTTACTACACTACACTTGGTGCACGGTCTCTGATATAGAACTAGGGGCTGCGCCACTAGTTAAACGCGATAGATTTAGATGCCTGTAGGAAGCAGATCAACAATCCACCTGTAGTTGTGTAGGAAGCACGTGTTTCAAAATTCTGCTCTTGACAATTTATTGCGATTCGTTTATTGCGCGGAAACCGTTTAAACGTGCGCAAGGTTTTGAAGGACTAGCCCGGTTAAAATGTAACTATTAGGTTGGCAAGAAAGTCCTGCGACACTCTTTCCAAATTTTCTTTTTTTTTCTGAACAATCCATAGGTAACATTTATGACTAACAAATGGTAGAGCATTCTCGAGGCTTTAATCCACGAGGTGGATATAAGTGCTGCAGTAAGTAGTTATCCAAGAAAATTCGAAAAACCTCGACCACTAGTAAATCCACACTCCGAGTCACTGTCTAGTACAAGTGTCTACATAACTATGGATTTGTGTCGAAGACCAACACTATCTGCAATAAGTTCAACAGGCATGTCGTTCACCGCTACAGCGTGTTTCACCTTTACCAGCGCTTCCGATCTTTTGATATTTTTATAAGAAGCCAGCAGCATCCCTCACACTCCATTACAGGTAGGGCTCTTACAGAAGCTCCACTACATACCCTTCGTTATGGGCACCATTGTGTAGGTAGAGGCCTAGGCTGTGGAATACCAGAAGCTGGCCGAGGCAGCTCGTCAAGAGCCCTCGTACCGCGACAATATTCATTTCTTTCATGACATTGCGAATCACCATGATCCGAAATGAGCCCGGTAAGAAATTCTGGAGTTGCGGCAAGATTTCTTTCCTCTCTTAGCGTAATCCCCTGGTCGAGCTGTAAATAAGTGCTACCTATCCTGGACCTTTAATCATCATCTTGATAACGAAATAATTAGACGATCAACTCCAACTCGGAAGTGAGGTCGCCTACTTTCTTGACCCGCACTCCGCTGGGTTTTGGAGAAAGGTGCAACAGATTCTCTGAGCAGCTTGGCTAGACAAGTGTACTGGACACGTCATGCATAGCAACCTGACCGGTCAGGGTGAGTTGTAAAGAGCCACAACAACCGATAGAAGCTGAAATCACCAAAATGGTAAAAGGGTCGCGAGGATCAGCTGTCTTCGCGCAACCTAGAGATATATTATTAATAGATTCCTTATACTGAGGAATTTCTCAACACCCTGATGCCCGAAAGGCGCTCACGTGGTTCAACACGAATCCCCACATTACTTAATCTCCTTGGCTTGGCTAGAGCCCAAGAGGTGGCGGGTCGAACGGACCGCCACCCTTCTCCAACTAAACTAGACACAGTGCTGGGACGCATACTAGCGATTACCAAGAAAAACATCCAATATTGGCTTCATAACGTCGACAGGATACCTTAAAACATTATAAATAAATCTCGGATAACGTAAGTGTAGACCTGTGTCCAAGATAAGAGGACAGTCTTCCTGTCCTCCAAGTCAGGAAGAATGGTGGGTCAAATTCGATTATTGCTAAGTTTTGGGATTATAGGGCCCATTAAAAATCGCTTTCGGGCTTACACGAGATTTGTGCCATTAGGAACTACTAATCTCTAGGCTTTGCAGTGAGAACGAACATGTTTTTGAATTTGTGACACTGAAAATGAGTCTCTTCAATAAACAAGTATGTCAGTGCATGGGAGATAGTTGAGAATGAAAAAATCACCGCACTAGAAAGATTCAAGTGTAACATATTTCGAGAATTTCATTTTTGTGCAGTTTACAACTCGCTAAAACAATCGACCGCACAATAAAAAACATAGAGCAGATCCAATACTTTTTTTTGGTAAGGTTCAGGAGTTGCTGAACTCGGCAGAGCTAATTGTGGAAAGTCAGTACCGTACAGGTGCCATACGTACAAATACATGACACCTTCTAGAATATAACTGCGTACACCTGCTTCACCAGATCTCTAATTATGTGAAGTTGTCCGACTGCTAAGTGGTAGGGGCAGGGTCAACCGTGCGTTGCGCAGATTTCAAAATTTTTACGACCCCCTCCCTTTCGGAGGGTATCAGTACGACCCCCTGTATTAGCTATTGTGTCTTTTTACATATTTTAGGCCCATCATCGGTGTATGGGCCGTCACCGACATGGAGAGGTGGTGGACAGTGGTAAGTCCGCGCGCTTTGTCTCGCTCAGAGGAGGGAATCGAGGCAACATGAAGTTTTATTCATTAAATAGAAGGAATTTTCCAAATTTTTGCGTAAACCAAGGCATGGTAGTAATCGCAGAGATTTCTACTTTCAGAAACCTACCAAGTTTTTTTTCGACTCCAAATCTCCTTTTTTATAAACTGAATAACTAAACCTTGCAGCAATTACGTTACGATACAAACCTCTTCATTCAAAAGGTTATATCTTTCTTCAGAAGCGGTCTCATGAGAGATAGAGGGATACAAAAATTTAAAATTCAAATTGTTTTCTTTCTAAAAAAATTTCAAACCCATGCAAATGTTCAATATTTCAAAAATCGTCCCGTTGTTCCGTTTTTCTGTGCACACGCGAGTTTTCGACATTCAAACATTCATAACTTTCTTCATAATCAACTTTTTGCAGATGTTCAAGGCTAATTAGAAACTAGAAGATTGAGCTTTCGAAAAAGCATTGAAAATTTTTGAAGCGACCACTTTTTCAAAAAATCGTCCCGTTGTTCCGTTTTCCCTCAATGGCTTTTTAGGCCATTCTCTTGAAACGCGACTTTTCAACCTTCAAATGGCCATAAGTTTCTTCAAAGTCGGTACATTGAGAAGCGGTAAAGACCACTGAAATCAAAAGATCAGTACTATATAGCAGATGCTAGATTATCTTGAAGGAAAACCTTTCTCCTGCCATAGGTTCTATACAACCCTAGAGGTCAATCAGCCGAATTCGCTGCACTTTCCTCC